AAATAATAAGTAAAGTAGTAAAGTAAGTAAGTAGTAGAGTAGTAAAGGGTAAAGGGTAAGGTAGTAGGTAAGAAGAATTAGTAGAGAAGGACGAAGGAGAGAGAGAGAGCAGTACGTGGAGAGAGAGAGAGAGAGAGAGAGGGGGGGGGGGGAGAAGGACGAGAGGAATAGAGATTTAAAGAGATATAAAGAAAGGGATATTTAATAAGAGATTGAGAGAGATTTAAGGAGATAGGGATGAGTGAGAGGGGAGAAAGAAATTACAGTTGATATCATTTCATTTAAAGAGAGAGATAGTTGGAGAGAATCAATGAGGTAGAAACCTTTAGCATTGAAATTTTTGAAAAGAGAGACAATCACTTGAACCATTTTGGAGAGAGATTATTGGAGGGATTTAAGTAGGTGGAACCTTTGCCTTTGAAACTTGTAAAAAGAGAAATACGAGTTCAACTGTTTTTTTGAAAGAGAAAAAATAGGGAGTGGGACACTCATAAAAATAGTGCATGTCTCCTTCTCGCTTAATGTATAGTGTGTTATCAAACAATAAAATAAACTCATTTTGTTACCAAACATTTTAAAATGACATTCAAAATTTGACGTCCACAGATCTATGATTAACTGTCATAAAACCACAACAATTAGAAAATACTGTTATCATTGTGCAAATTACTCAACCACAATTACTCAAGCCAAATAATAATTTTCTTTATTTTTGATTTATACTTATATTTAATGAATAAAATATAATTAGGTTAAATGACAAACAACACAAATAAATATAGTACCAAACTACAATCAATAAAAGAAACTCATTTTGTTACCTAAACTTTCAAAAGAGTGTTCAAAATTTGGTAGCGTCTTGAGATCTATAATTGACTGGTTTATTGGTTTTTAAATCACAATCTGAAAAAAAAAAGGTCATGATTAGAATAAGACAAAATAAGATAGAAAATAGATAGAGATTAAGAAAAATAGGTAAATGGCAAGAAACATTTGAGACAAAAAGAGAGAGCTCATGTGGAGAGAGATGGACAGTGGGAGGGAAAGGAGGAGGGGAGAGAGATTTAAGGAGATGTAAAGAAAGAGATATTTAAGAAGAGATTGATAGAGATTTCAGGCGAGAGGGATGAGTGAGGGGAAAAAGAAATAAGAAGAAAAAAATTAGGGTTAATATTATTTAATTTAAAGAGAGAGATAGTTGGAGAGAATTAAGGATTTGGCTTTGAAATTTTTGAAAAGAGAGATATTCACTTGAACTGTTTTGGAGAGAGATTGTTGGAGAGATTTAAGAACGTGGAACTTTTGGCTTTGAAACTTGTAAAACGAAAAATACTGGTTGAATTATTTTTTTGAAAGACAAAAAATAAAGAATGGGACCCTTGTCATAAAAATAATACAGGTCCTCTCGTCGCTTTTTATATAGTAGATAGATAGATAATGCCACAAGATTGAATAAAGACCATCCAGATGGTGAGATCTAAATAACTTTAATTTCAAATTCCTTCTTGAGAGTAATTATCTAGTAATTCTTAAGTAGTTTTAAAAATTTCAATTTGAAAAAATCTTCCCAGCTTAGTTTATTTGATCGAAGGAGTAGAAGTAAATGCATGCATATTATTGTCGTAGGATGCGGTTTGTGTGTATTAAAATATAAAAAAATAGTGTTATTGTAATAAAGAACACACGTACAAACAACGTAAAGACCAGCAGGTGTCAGCTGGCAAAAAGGACGGTGGGTTTTGGCGCTATACATCATCAACCTTTATTTTTATTATTGTCTTCCTCTCCATTATTTATTCTCATACTAAATAAAATGTGCACAAATGATGAGAATGATAACATGAGTGTTACAAAAAATAACATAATTTTATAACAATAAGGTAATATTTGCCAATGTCGACTGTAAATCAGAGCGGTGGTTTGGGCGTCCTTGGGTGCGCAGTAAGCCCAGATCCACTCCCTGCTGGTCCAGAGTTCAAAGACCTGGTACTCTCTCGCTCTCTCTCAATTTCATATGCTGATCAAAGGTCTGCTCTGTTCTTATTTTCTGTGTTGTTAGGAGGCGTTTATATCAATGATTTGTTCATCTTTTGCAGTAAGGGGATTAAATTTTGTTGCTAAAAAAGTGTGGATTCATTCTGAGATTGTTAGTTGATGATTCCTCTAAGTCGAGGCGTGCCTCATAACAACTGAGATTCTGAATTTTTTGGGTGGGTTTTATTTTTCTTGGGGTGGTTCTCAAGGGCCAATTGCGTGAAGAACTTTCTTCCATAATTTGTATCTTGAATTTCCCCCTTTTCTTGGTGAGAAATTTTCGAAAATTGGTTTTCCCTAAAACTGCCTTGGTATTATGTAAATAAAATTCTGAGTTAGAAAATGAATTCAACATATTCTCTTACACAGAAAGAAATCAATAATACGGGTGAATTGCTGTGGAAACTGAAAACCTCCTAAGAATCTCACCTCTATATGGTTTGCCCTAAACATAAAAAAGGTGAGGATGCTCTCTAGGAGGTGTGTACGCCTCCTTTTAAAAAATGGTGAACATTTGTTTTTTATTTTATTTTGTTTTTCTATGGGAATATTATTGGAGTTTGCTTCACTAGCACTGCGTTATCGATAATTATGTTTATTGAAAAATCTACGGGAAGGTTTTTGAGATTGCCATGACACTCACATGGTTTCTTAAAATTTTTGTGTTGCAAATATGCAAGACTGTGAAAGAGAGCTTATTAACGGTATAGCTTAAACACAATTACTTTTTTTTTTTTGATCGACTAGCTTGGCCGGGATACTTTTGTACTACTTACAAAATGTTCCAATGCAATGGGAGGACAACATGAAGGGAAGGTTTCTAAGCATGTAAAATTGTCTGTTAAGTGTTTGATTATGGGTGCTTTGAAACCTGGAAGTTTATTCTATTTCTCTTTAGTCATGTTGAAGCCCATGTGGTAAATTGTTCTTCAATAAATTAGTTTTTTTACCATCACTAGTAATATAGCTTTTCTCTTTTGTTGTATTCGTAAATTAGAACAGGGAATCCTTATTGAGCTGAGCCAAATTGTTTCTTTATATTTTTTTGAGAAGTTAGCCAAAAGTCACTTCAACATTCGAGAATTGTTTCTTTATCAGAACTGTATTATTGGTTATTTTAGCAAGCTGACCTTCGTTTTACTGAGAAACTGATGTTGATTAAAAATCTGTCTTGTTGTAAACACACATAAATAGGGTTAGGGCTACAACTAAAATGCACCGTAACTATAACGTATTAACTACTATATCCATCCTCACGAACACTATGTAGAAAATGTGCATTATGTGCCTTTGTCCCCTCCAATCTGATACTAGGAAGTCAGTCAGCTACTCATTGTCAATTATATAATTTCATCTCCTTGAGGTCATTCTTTGGTGATATTTGGTTGAGATTTAACTTATGAAGTGATCACCTAATGAAGTGCATGTGGCTCAATTAGTGTTTGTTTGTTGGATGCAGAGTTTTATGTTTTAGGTAAAAGCACATAAGTTTGTGTTAGATTTCATTTCATACAGCATGACTAAAATTAGGGTATGTAAAGTATTTGATGCTAGTAATTAAGTAAAAGTAGTTGTTGGATAATTGTTCCAATGTTTCAAAAATGGTCTGCCCAGCGCCTAGGAGCCCAAGACCCTATGCACTGCATGCCTAGGCCTAGGCGGGCTCCCAGGGATGGTTTTTTTTTTTTTAAGGTACCCAAAATGGCAAATGGGGTAATTTTGACCCCCAAAGAGGTTTAAATAGGTTATGGGGCTTATTTTAACCCCCAAAGTTAAAAAAATAATTCCATAAACCCTCTTAGCTATACCTATTTCTAGGAATTGAAAGTACTTTATGTGGTTTGAAGAAGCTTCCTAAACTTTTCTACTTATTGTGGAATATGCCTATTTCTGAGAATCAAAAGTATTTTTTGTGGTTTGAAGAAGCTTCCTAAACTTTTCTACTTATTGATATTTCTGAGAATCAAAAGTATTTTTTGTGGTTTGAAGAAGCTTCCTAAACTTTTCTACTTATTGATATTTCTGAGAATCAAAAGTATTTTTTGTGGTTTGAAGAAGCTTCCTAAACCTTTCTACTTTATTATGGAATATGGAGAGTTGGAGACTATTACTAATACATATCCTATTAGACTTTCTAAATTTTGTATGGTTTGAATTTTGAAATTTTGAACAAGTTTATTCTCAACATACGATATGTCATATGTTTGTATAAAGCATGTTACAATATTTTCAAATACAATAAATTTCAAAATTGACACAAATATATGTATATATTATATATCTATAAAATTTGTACTACATGGCGCCCAAGGTTCTGAGCGCCCACCTAGGCGCCAGGTTGGCCGCCTAGCTTTTTTTGAAACCAAACAAGATTTCATGATCAATTGGCCATCATTCTCATAGAAGGTCTTAGGAAAAGGGTGGGCTGAGCAAACTTTCTTTCAAGCTTGGCACTGTTGATATTGATGTACCACTAATGTGTTGGCCAGGGTAGTTGGATGTTCTATATAAGGAGTAGACCCTATATGGTATCTTAAGGGGTTTTGTCTTTTCTTAAAATTTAGTGCTGAAAATATGCAAGATTCCGAAAGAGACCTTATAATTGTATAGCTTAGCTGTGACACCTTCTTTTTTTTTTGATTGGTTAGCTTAGCTGCAATGCTTTTGTAGTATTTATAAAAATTTCGATCCAATGAATGGGCGAGCATGAAGGGAAGGTTTTCTAAGCATGAAAAATTGTTTGTTAAGTGTCTGAATGTGGGTGCTTTGAAACTTGGAAGTTTGGTCAATTACTCTTTTGTCATATTGAAGCCCATGTGGTGAATTGTGCTTGGATGAATTACTATTTTTTCCATCACTAATAGTATAACTTTTGCCTAGTGTTGCATGGATGAATTAGAACCTGGAATCCTTACCAAGTTGAGCGAGAATGGTTTCTTTATTAGAACGGGCAGGTTATCTTAGTCCAACTGAGAAATTGACATTGATTAAAAAATGATTCTATTTGTTGTAAACACACATAAATAGGGTTAGGGCTAGGACTAAAATACACTGGAACAATTACATACTTTTGCTATATCCTCCCTCATGTACACCATGCAACGTGCATTATGTATCTTTGTGCCCTCCAATCTAATACTAGGAAATCAATTAGCAACTCATTGACAATTATATAGCTACATCTAACGAAGTGTATGTGGCTCAATTTGTGTTTGTTGAGATGTAATTGGTGAAGCGATCATCTAACGAAGTGTATGTGGCTCAATTTGTGTTTGTTGGGTGCGAAGTATGACTCCTTAGGTAAAAGCACTCAATTTTGTGTTAGATTTCATTACATACATCATGGCTAAAAATTGGATTTAATGTAAAGTACCTCATGCTACAAGTTAAGGAAAAGTAGTTGCTGGAATGATTTATCACCATCATCATCCGAGCCTTATCCCAACTATTTGGGGTCGGCTACATGAACCTTGTTCAACCATTCTGCTCTACCAAGGGCCACACCTTCAGTTAGACTATAAGCCACCATATCTTTTGCAATACTTCATCCATGTCTTTAGGGGCCTTCCCCTTGCCCTTTTAGGGCTTTCTACTTGAACCAAATCGCCCCTTCTAACCGTTGCTAGATCGATTTTCATGTACAAAACAAGATGTTAGGATCAATTGGCCGTAATTCTTAGAGGTCTTGGTATAGGGGTGGGCTGATCAAACTTCCTTTCAACCTTGGCATGGTTCATATTGATGCACTAGTAAAGTTTTGGCTGGTGGGGAGGGTGGGTGTGGGTGGGTGGGTGTTGGGTGTTCTATATAATAAGTAGACCCTATATGGTATCTTTATGGGTCTTGTCTTTTCCTGCCACGAGAAATAGTGAAACTTTGCATGGAAACTGGTGCTAAAAGACGTGGATGGAACTATTCATGATGTTCATTCTTTAGTTTAGAATAAGGGATTGACTAAGCTTAATTTATTTTCCACGGGTATGGATCTTTTTGGTTTGGAGTTCTTTGTATTTACATTCTCTTTATACCCTTACTTTCTAATAATGAAGAAGTGGTCTATTTTCCTATCCTGTGATGTGTATCATTGTCATCATCATTGTGAATTCTCATAATCATCCAAGAAAAATTGTAACATGTATGCTGCGGAGGAAGCACAACAATTTGAGTGAACTTGTGAAGGACAAATGTCCGGAAAAATGTGTATTCTATTCCTCAACAACTTTAGTCAAGTTCCCTGTAGAGTGTTCTGCACTACTCAGTAGTGTTGATTAGGCTTAATTGCCAATTTTGTAAAAACATTGATAATGAGAAACACGATTGGCTGAATAAGGAAGAAAACTTCAAGTGGATGAAAACATACAAGAACAATTAGGAAAAGAAGTTTAGTGCTTCCAACATTAGAATTAGGAAACTAAGTTTAGCACTTCGAACATTACAAATAATGGGGTCATACTTGAAGCCTTGATTTAAATATACCGAGGGGAAGAAGATATTGATGACCTACAATAACATAGAATTGATGCAATAGAATTGAAACTGACAGATTATCTACAAAGGTAACAGCGTGTGATGCTTAAATTGACTGTTTTATATTTTTTGAGTTGGAAATTGGAGGAGCAAACCAGTAGGCTTGCTGATATACATAATCATTTGTGAAGAAAACTGCATTATCCTCAATTGGAACTCCCTTCATCCTGTGTCTTTCCCCTTTCACTCTACATCCCTTTTTCTCTTTATCCCTCTTCTTTCTTCCTTTTCTGCGCACATCTTAGTTTGGATGCTTTGTTTTCAAGCATCTTGATGTGGTCGATCTTTACTATTGCCTTATCTTAAAAAAAAAAAAAACTCTTTTTAATGTCTCTTTAGTTTAGTAATGTGCCTTTCTCTACAAAAAATTGGAGATATATATATTATATATACACACACACATACATGTGTGTGTGTATGGAAAATGGTTTGATTGGACTGCAGCCCTATCAAGATAAATGAAGCC